AATTATTTAATGATACCCTGTATGGCCTCTAGTGTGGGATGGTTGATGGCAACTAAGGATGTGCAGTCAGAAGGTTTTTTTTCTTGACTGAAGCAGGTTCTCTTCAAATATTTGGGTGGCCCATTCTAAAACGAGATGATTTTCTGTGGTGAAGTATCCTTGTTTGGTGAAGGTGGTGATAAGTGTCTTAAAGTGTGAATCTCAGACTTTCTCCTCAGTACATATGTGTTAGCAGTACCTGGCTGTGGAGAACAGATGTATTGGTATGTTTGGGGTGGATCTGTGAAGGCAGGTGTGGCAAACCATGGGTTTCTTGTACATACTTGTCCATTGTTGAAGCTGATTGTGGTGTCCAGGGAGTATTCTAGAGAGAGTTTCCACCAGTTGAAGGTGTGGTGGAAATCAATGAGAGAGGTTAGGATACCTGTCCTGAAGATGAACATATCATCAATGTATTTCAGGTGTATTTTCTACAACACTTGAATGCTTCACTGTGCCACAGCCCTGGTTATGCCTCTAAATACATACACAGATTGCACTGTGCGCATGTAATGTATGATTCCTTTAAAAATGCTGAAGAGTACCTTATTTTACCATAGTCCCAAAGAAGTCAAAAGAAATACTGTTGGAGTAAGACATCAGTGTGAATAAGGGCATTGCAATCTGGCCCCAAATCATTTGGAAACAAACATTTTTTTACAAAAGATTTTCAGACACTTTTAAGATGAAAAGTTTGTCTTGCTCCCTCCTACTCCCTCTACAGTATTTAAAAAGGAGTAGGTTAAGGATGGCTTTTGTGCTTTAAGTTTTAATTTCCTGGGTTGTTAGTTCAGCACAAACCTTTGTACTATTTTAACAGTGTATGTATGAATTTATTTTTGATTAATTCAAGAACAGAAAATGATGGTCTGTAATGTCTCTGGAAAATCCAAATATGCCATTTTTACATTACCTAACATGTGTATGATTTATCTGATATACAGCCACTCCCCGACTTACGAACACACCGACTTTTGACCATCTGTACTTACGACCAACCTCCCATTAACCCCATTATAATATTTTCGAGTTGAGAACCATGTACGTCAAGTTTTTCGAACAGTGTGGGCAGCGCATTTAAGGGTATTTCCGACTTACCACCAAATCGAGTTACGACCAGGTGTTTGGAACGTAACATGTACATAAGTTGGGGACTGCCTATATTAAGGTCTCCGATCCATATTTAGTACTTAGTGTTACGTTACTGAAGTAGCTATCTTAGTTTATTGTGGAATAGCTACCTATTTTGGCACATGTACTACATTTTGTGGTAGTCTGTTCTTCAGCCTAGACATGAACAGAATGGGCAGAATGTACAGCCATAAGGTTCTTGAGAAGGCAGGTGAAGGGGAAATTAGTTACAAATTAGATTCTCCCTTACACTCAGAATCCGTTACAGCAGGGGTGGGCAGACTATGGCCCGTGGGCGGCTCCTGGCCAGCATGTTCCTGCACCCCTGGGGGGGTGGGGCAGAGGGCTCTGTGCAGCTCCTGAGAGAGCATAATTCTTGGTCTCACCACAACTCCCACTGCCTAGGAATGGGGAACTGTGGCCAGTAGAAGTTATGGGGGCAGTGCATGCAAGAGAGGGCAGTATGCAGAGCTGCCTGCTCTCCCTTCTCTTCCCTTGCCTCTGGGTGTGGCATAGGGCCAGGGCAGGAGAGGAGCCTGCCTTATCCTCACTGTACCATCAACTGGGAGCTGCCCAAGGTAAGTGATGCCCAGCTGGAGCCTGTACTCCAAACTCCTCCTACACCTCGCACCCCTTCTTGCATCACAACCTCCTGTCCCAAACTTGTACCCTAAGCACCCTCCTAACGCTGCACCCCAACCCTCTGACCTGAGCCTCTTCCCGCAAGCCATGAGACCCTTAGGCCAAAAAGTTGGCCCACCCCTGCTTTAGACCCACTCACTCTATATTGAAGTTTAAAGGGAGGTTAAACTGCAACTTACACTTACAAGCATTTGAGCTCTTCTTCAGACCTAAGAAAGGTCTGCAGAGTTTCACAGCTAAATACAAGGCAACAGAGAGTTTAGCATACGTACTTGGGACCGCTTGTTGTCACCGATCACTCCATGCTGGAATCTATAAGGGGTATCTTGGAGCAACATCAAACAACTAAAACCCATACACAATGGGGACCACATCCAGAAAGAATTTTTTCCTGAAACCCTCTTCTGCCCTTCAAACAAGCAGATGCGTAGTGAGGGTGTTATGCGCTCAGGGCAAAAGCAAAATTTGTGCCCGTCTTCCCCGCACGGTAGGGCCCCGAATCTGGCACACGGCTGAGCCTGATCCTGGGAGGAGGGGGGGGAGCTTGTACCGTGTCTTCCCCCACCTCCTCCAGTTTGGAGCCAGGCCCAGCATGCCTGCAGGAGGAGATGAAGGAGATGGGGCTGGGGACAGAGACGCAGGGAGGAGACTCTAGCTGGCGGCGGTGGATGGAGGAGGAGCAGGTGAGCCGAGGGATGACAGGGGGAGTGGAGGGAGACTAAATAGGTGCTCCTCTAATGTGGTGCCCCCATATTTCCTCCTGGCTACACCCCTGCAAACACGCCCCCGGACTTCTCAAAGCTGAGCATTAGATGCAAGCTTCACCCAGACCAGGACAAACCGACTCAGATCCTGCCAGAACAAGAATGCCAAACCTGTAGATGTATCTCAACAGGTACAATGATTGGTGTCTCCCACAACAGACCTTTCAAGATCCATAGCTCCTGCATATTCCAATCAGAACATGCTGTTCGCCTCATCCAGCACACTAGATGCCCCAAAAACAACTATTAAAGGGGTAGCTGTGTTAGTCTGTAAATTTAAAAACAAGTAGTCCTGTGGCACCTTAGGCTGTGTCTACACTGCATAATTAATTTCAGAATAAGCTATTCTGGAATAGTTATTCTGAAATAGCTTATTTTGAAATAGCACATCTATACTGCAGGGAAGCTTCAAAATTAATCCAAGGCAGGCTTCCCTAATGTAGACATGCTATCTCAATTTAGAGCCCCAGAAGGAATAACTTAGAATGGACTTGGTGAGGGGCTGCTTCAAAATCCCAGAAGCAGAGTGTCTACACATGCCTTATTTCGAAATAGGTATTTCGGAATAGGCATTATTTTTCATAGAATGAGGTTTACAGAAATTGGAATAAGCTGTCCATTATTTTGAAATTATTTCAAAATAATGGAATTGCTGTGTAGACCTTCACATAGTTATTTCGGAATAACAGCTGTTTTTCCAAAATAACTTTGCTGTGTAGACACACCCAAGACTACAGGGTTTTTTTTTTTTAAAAAAAATTGGCCTTTTTTCGAAAAAACTTCCCCGGTGTCTAGACTGCTGCCATGTTCTTTTGAAAGTAAATAGAAAGAACATGGCAGATTTTTCAACTGTGGAAAACCTTGTTTTCTTCAGATACCAGAGTTACTTTACCATAACCATTTCAATAATTCTTCACAAAAATGAGTGGTTAGTAAAAAGTTGACATTTGTTAATACAGGCAGTCTCCGGGTTACGTACAAGATAGGGACTATAAGGTTTGTTCTTAAGCTGAATTTGTATGTAAGTCGGAACTGGCTCCTGATTCAGCCGCTAATAAATATAGATAGACAGACAGAGAGACAGACAGACAGACAATGGATTTATGGTTTACTACATCAATCCGTAATTCATTAATGCTGCTTTTTTATCCTCTGACTACAGAGGTATTAACAGACCGCTCCACTTGGTCCCTTAGAATATGTGTTAACTACTTACGTTAAACAATTAGGTTAAACAATCTGTTCAATCAAGTATTTAGCTGTGACACTCTGAGTACTTTTCCCAGACCTAAAGAAGAGCTTTGTATAGCTCTCAAAAGCACTTCTCTCTCGCCAACAGAAGTTGGTCCAATAAGGCTTTGTTTACACTACTTTATTTTAACTGTATTCCTAAAAGTCAGGCAGTGTAAATGCTGTTTGTTGGCATCAATGAGCCATTTGCACTGCTATTTGCTGCAGCAAAACTTGTGTGTGGGTGAGGAGATAGGACATTTAAGCACCTGTGAAGGACAGAAGTTTTGTTGCTTAATTGGCAGTATAGACAAAGCCAAAACCTTACCTCCACATTGTTTTTTCATTTAAATCTCAGCTATCTGTTTTTTAGTTCTTCAAACATACACAATATTTAGAAATAAATCATTGTTATTTCATTCACACATGTGATTAAAAAATGGACAAAGTGGTTACTTTGAATTTTTAGTTAGGGGTGGGGGAATTAGGCTCTGGTTGACACACTCTGGCTGTGTCCAGACTCATGGGGTTTTTCGAAAAAAGTAGCCTTTTTTTCGAAAAAACTTCACCTGCGTCTAGACTGCAGCCGCGTTCTTTCGAAATTAAATCGAAAGAACGCGGCTTTTCTTTCGACGGCAGTAAACCTCATTGCAGGAGGAAGAACGCCTTCTTTCGAAAGTTCCTCTTTCGAAAGAAGGCGTTCTTGAATGTAAATAGGGCTTCTTCGAAAGAGAGCATCCAGACTCACTGGGTGCTTTCTTTCGAAAAAGCAAGCCCCTTTTTCGAAAGTTCCGCGTGCAGTCTAGACGCTCTCTTTCGAAAGAGGCTTGCAGTCTAGACATAGCCTCTGTTCAGTTGAAGCCTACAGATAATGATTACAGCATAGTCTGAAATCACCCAGGTTGGGGGGAGGGGTTTGTTTACAAGCAAAAATATGACTAACCTTAATCATTTTTACTACTTAGAAAACTAAAATCAAACACTAACATTTTAGGGCAGTCTGAAGTGGTGTCATTGAATAAAAGGTCAATGAATAGCAGTGTTGCGCACAATGTATAATTATGTATAAACCATATCCATGTATTTAGCTAAGGCTTAGGTGACCCTGATAGTGCAGCTATAATAAATGGAGCTATTTATCAGACCTTATCTCTTTTTTAGCTCAGCGTTACAGTTATGTTATGCATTTTTTACCTGGGCTGGAGCACTGGATGAAAGATGAGTCAAGTCTCCGATTCTGGCAGCAGCTCGGGGATCGCTAGAGCTGATCAAAACTGGAGCACTAATTTCCATGGAATGCCTGTTATGCATGGCCTGAGAGGATTTGTGTGTCATACTGAGAGCTGTGAAGGAGTGGCGTTTCTTGGCATTCTTCTTGCCGTCAATATGCCGCTGAATGGCACTGACTGCTCCTGTATTGTTTAAAGTAGAGCACTGGGCCAAATTTACTGCCATGTTGGTGTCAGATGGCAAAGGGACATCACAGCCAGATGCAGCAGCTAAGCATGTCTTGTCCATCTCTATAAGCTGTTTAGCTGATTCGTTGAGCTAAGTGCAGAGAAAAACAAAACAAAACAGAAGAATGGGGAAATTAAAAGACTGTCATAGCTAGCCATTGAACCTGTGAGTTCAAATTCTGCACTCATGCCAGTGCTACTAGAACTTCGCTTATAGAAGCACCAACATCCTTCCGAGTGTTTAAAAAAAATAGTGGAAGTCCATAATTCCGATAACCTGACACCCAAGTTGAGTGTAATCCCATGGAAATCAACTGGACTTTATGTAAAGTAACATTCTAGTCTAAGTGTGTAAGAATATCAGATTTTGGGGCTAAATGTGGAGAGCCCTGCACAGATACAAAATTTTTATCTGCATCCGTATTTGCAAAACTGAGCTGCGGGTGTCCATATCCATATCCACTGATGCAGCTACCTGTGGATATAAAGTGGATATCTGTGGTTTTGCAGGGCTCTATAAATGTATGTTTAAATATACTGCAAACTTTAGGAGTAACCCAACAGGAGCTCTATTCCTACTTACTGGGCAAACTGTTCACTTTGGAAATTTTTGGTTAAATATTAGCAATCCTTAATATGTTTATTTTGCTATGATCTGTCGATGTACCGGACAAGTCAGTACAATTCAGGTTAAAGAATTCAATTTCCTGAAAGCAGCTACAAGCTTTCAACTCCCAAAGGTTCTAAAAAAGACATTATAGTATTTCTATCCACTTCAAGTCATATGAACAGAAGAAAACAGTAAGGAATATAATATATACCCACTTTAAGGACCCTTTACACACACAAAGTAATAAAAGAGGCCTGAGTGTAAGATTTCAGGTCAGTGGGTCTAAAATTAAACATCCAGAAATGGAAGAACCCCAGACTACAGCCCACTTTTCAAATTGTAACCAGAAGTAATTTGCCTGGGACTACAGAAAGAGACATTGTCACAGCTTGGGCGAGAACTCAATACTTCCTGCATTTCCTAGTCCTGAGCCCAGCTGCTATGATATATTCTTTCTGTTAGACAATGCCTCTCTCATCTCAAATGCTAAGCTAGGAAGTCTGGCTAAGTTTAACAAAATTGTTGGCATTGAATAAAATGATGCATTTGTTACCATATGTACTCCTATTGCTGTATCAGTACATGTTACTAAAGAATTCACCAATATTACTTTGTCTATGCCTTGCCAATGTCTCCATTATATCATCTCACTTTCCCCAGGTCAATATAAATATGTGCTTTGGGCTTGTTAATCCAAGAGCATTTCTTCCAAAATCTCTCTAGTATTTTTTTCTTTAAACACAACTAATATTCTTATCTTAGTATAAATTAAAGCAAAGGATTTTTTTTCTCAATTGCATCATTTCAAATGAGCGGTATCACAGAGGCACCTAGCCTCACATGGTCCAATCAAAGCCCAATGAAACAATAAACAGGAAATATTAAGAACTAGCAGAAATAGCCGGCATCACCCAAGGAAAATATAGTAAAAGGTGTGATGAATGAACTATGTCAATTACATTAACATAGCATATTTTATTGGAAAAACTTTTCTCTGATATATTACTTTAAGAAATTAACATAGCTAGTGATGTACTTACAAAATGACAAATTCCATAGGGTCTCTTTTCTCAATTCCCACAAATCAGGAAGGCCCATCTTTCCTTAAAGACTCTATGCAAACCAATGCCTGCAGCCTCCTTTCCAGAGGCCCTGAGAAATGGAGAGGATGTCTCCTGGCCTCCGCAGCAGCAGCAAATCACTGCTCCCCAAGTAGCCACTCCCCGAGTGTCTTCAGTGCATGCTTCATGGGGCAACCTGAATGGACTTCCTAGCGGCAGCTGGACCGGTTGCATTGATCAGACAAAATGAAAGACCTTCAGACCAGGTGCAATAAGTGATATCTAGATGATCAGAACATGCAGCACCTGAACGTACCTGTTCTAATGAGAATAGGCTGTTCTGAGTGTACTGTGTCCTCCTCAGGCTCCATGGTGCTCAAAACCTTGTCCTCCTACCCACCTCCTCTTTGTACTATGACCTGAATCCTGCAGAGTGCATAATACCCGTGGCACTTGCTGATAACACACACCACCCTGCCAGGAGAACGCATGCAGCCCCAAGGAGGGTGAGTGGTGGGATGGCTCCTTTAGGTGTGGGGGGACGGAAGCAACTTTAATTTCCAGAAGGGGTTCAGTCGGAGCCCGGCTGCGTGAAGATGTTGAGAGGCTGTGACAGCTGGAGGCTTCTCCCAGCCACAATTAGCAAGGCTAGCCCCCACCCAGCATCAGCCACATTTGGGTCTGTCCTGGAGACCTGCTGGTCTCCTAGTATAGGGGAGGTTGCTGATTCTCTGCCCCACTGCAGCCTCTCCCCCCATGGGCTTTCCCTTGATGGTGCTCCAGGTGCCCACATGCTTTATCCGTAGCTGCAGTTGATGTGACACGCTTAACAGAAGAGTCCAGCAAATGCCTATGATCAGGTGCTACTAAAAGCTAATTATCAGTGGGCCCAATTGGGGCTCCGTGGGAACCGATTTCGAGATATAACCCATCCAGTTATTGAAGTTAGGAAATCAGTAGTATACATTCAAAATTTGGTGTTTCTAGCTCTTACTTTTCAGAGATCTTTCAGAATTATCAATGGGCCCAATTGGGGCTCTGGGAGAACCGGGGGAACCGATTTTGAGATATAACCAGTCTAGTTATTTAAGTTAGGAAATCAGTGGAATCTGTGCAAAATTTTGTGTTTCTAGCTCTTACCGTTTCGGAGATCTTTCAGGACAAACAAACACAAACACACGCACACAAACAAACTTTCAGAAATATTTATAAGATTATAGGACTCTCTTCCATAGTTTCAAACTTAGCATACAGTCTACATTGGGAAATAGGCAGCATATCACTCATGTTTATTCTTCACCAACTCTTCATGATCAATTTAACAGCTATGTGTGGCCCTGCCCTTAAAAACGCAGAAAATATGTTATGTGGAAATCCCAGGCTGTGTCTAGACTACATGCCTCTGTCGGCAGAGGCATGTAGATTAGACACATAGGCAAAGTCAAAGGAAGCCACGATTTAAATGATCGCGGCTTCATTTAAATTTACATGGCTGCCGCACTGAGCCGACAAACAGCTAATCAGCTGTTTGTTGGCTCAGCACGGCAGCCATGTAAATTTAAATGAAGCCGCGATCATTTAAATCGCGGCTTCATTTGACTTTGCCAAACAAACAAATCTACATGGCTCCGTCGACGGAGCCATGTAGATTTGTTTGTTTGGCAAAGTCAAATGAAGCCGCGATTTAAATGATCGCGGCTTCATTTGACTTTGCCAAACAAACAAATCTACATGGCTCCGTCGACGGAGCCATGTAGTTTAGACGTATCCTCATTTACCTGAATTTCTTGACTTCCCAGGTACTGTAACTTATATAGGAAAGAACTTTTCTGACAGTTAGAAAATTTGTAGACACACAGGCTACGTCTAGACTACATCCCTCTATCGGCAGAGGGATGTAAATGAAGCAGTTTGAAAGTGCAAATGAAGCCGGGATTTAAATATCCCGCACTTCATTTGCATAATCATGTAATGGCGCTCTTTCAAAAAAGCGCTATTTCAAAATTGAAACCGCACTCTAATGGGGCTTTTAAAAAAATGAGGCACTTTTTTGAAAGAACCGTGTCTAGACTGCGGTTTCAATTTTGAAATAGCACTTTTTCGAAAGAGCGCCATTACATAATTATGCAAATGAAGCACGGGATATTTAAATCCTGGCTTCATTTGCACTTTTGAAGTGCTTCATTTACATCCCTCTGCCAACAGAGGGATGTAGTCTGGCCACAGAGATGACCATATTCACTGTTCTACGAGGCATGATGTGAAGTAAGATGAATTTTCTAAAACATTCACTGGGATCATCCCTCAAAGAGTGCTAACAGCTGAGGGTGAGGGAAAAGGCACTTTATATTCAATTAGAATACTGCACAATAGGTTTTCCATTTAATGAACAGAATCAATATATGAATGAAGGTATCTAAGATAAAAACTTTCAGATCTTCACCTATACTCTGAGGTTGATCTAAACTAGAGTACATGAAATATTACATTGGATGAATATAAATATTATTATTGCTATTATTAAATGTTAATTATTATGTAAGCACCAAAACATTCCAGTTAAGCTTGGGCCTCATTAGGCTGCACAAACACACAGAATGACATAACCTCTGCCTTGAAAACCTTACAATGCAAATTTAAAAACGAGACTCAGCAAGTGACAATAACAGTAAGAGAAAGGGAGGAAAGAAAAAAGAACAGGATCACACAGTTTTGTAGCTTTGCTGTGGAAGATCTTGATGGTTCCAAATAATTGTACCAATGATTTAAAACACAAACAAATGAACAGACTAATAATGTTAGCATTTTCCCCATAACTCATATAAATCTTAGGAATGTTCATCTTCAGTTTACAATGTCTCATTCTCAAGTCAGAGGTGATAAAATATGAACATCCAGAAAATAAACACGAATGCTCTGTAATTCTTTGTCCACTCACAACTGCCACCAGCCAAACAACAACCTTCACAATTAGTGATGTACTGCTACTGACAATGCTGGGATTAGCTGATACCATTCAATTAGACGGCCATTTTACCAGCTGCACTCTTCAATATAGGACCATTACAGAAGCCAGCACAGTGCACTGCACCTGCCAGTTTTTGCTTTTAGCAGCTGATCCCATTTGAAATTCTTCAAGAATGTCCATTATTTCTCACTTCATCATGTTCTAAATTGGTACAGCCTAATATATGCCAGCAGGCTCACAACAATGGCAATGAAACCAGATGGTTCTTCTCTGTTATGTAGGTGTTACAGTTCTGCTTACCCAATCAATGGCAACACTCTTACTGAATTATTTAAAAGGAGGGAAGGGGAAGCACTACCACAATTTATGAAATGCTTTGAACATGATGAACTATTTTGCTAGTGAGTACCAATGGGCTAGGAATATCTGCAAAGAATTTAATGAAGTGTTTT